CAATCCTTCATGCGACTAGCGCGAGGACAAAGGCACTCCCGACAATGTCATCGTCACAAATGTTTGATGGGAAGCCGCCATAATTGCTGCCCAAATACACCCACCTTTGAGCAGTTGCCATTTCAAGCTTTGTTGCATACACTGAGGACGGACAGTGGCTAGGTAATTAGCCACTCTTTGTCACCAAAGTAACCAGAGCCTCGCTTCAACCAGACTTGTGCCACTGCTTCATTTGTGAAGCAAGTGACCATTTTGCCTTCCATTTGGGAGACTGACTATGATGCCATGCCGTGAGAACGACACACACACAACAGGAAAGTAAGGCGTTGCAGGACTTGCGGGAGGTCGAGTTGCTGCCCACTTCCCTCCACGATACCGATCCTTACTCCAGCGTGCACCAATCTCTCTTACAGGTGGCGCTGAATGCAGTGAGAGGTGGAGACAAAGGTTAGAACAGATCGCGTTGGTGACAAAGGTTACCCACTCGAGTGGGCAGGCCACAGATGCAGGCGTCGCCTGATGTTTACTGTCCAGATACTGGTTTTCTCAACTCACTCTGCACACAACCACACACACACACACACTTGCCAGTATGCATAGCAAATTGGTAGTCAGGTAGTGAGTGGGCGTTCACTCAACGATCCATGTAGGACAAAAGCCATTCCTCGTCATTGGCCGATCAGTCAGTCAGTCAGGTAGCATTACATGACCCTTCTAGTGCATTCCATGGAAGAGGCGAAGAGTTGAATGGCAATCACAGACGTCTGCTGACATTAGCTAGCAAATAGGGTGCGAAGTGTGAGATGCGGGAACCGCATGCTTGTCTTCCACCACGTATGGATGCAAGTCGATTGTACTATCATTTGCACATGCAACAAAATGAAATGGAACGCCAACAACGTCAGCTCCTCCGAAGGCAGAACGAAATGAGGTCGTAACAAGTCAGGGTCTGAGACCACATAGCGCCCCCAGGAGTAAGGTGCATCGATGCCTCGCCATACAACGCAGATATGCACTAAAACCACACCATTTTGTTTACTCTCCTTCACCTAATGACAAGTATGCAGTCCCCAAGTTCCTGGGACTTTCTTCTAGAAGGCTCTCAAAGTAAGAGGCGAATCGGAGCCGTTGCAGGCGACTCTTTCTTCCGGACTTTAAAAGTCGACCTTGTACCTGATTGCACACTCTTGCATCAGGTGTCGTGACCGTCTCGTCGCTCACCTGATGAATGGAGAGGCATTGTGTGCTCCCTCCACTCACCACTACATCATCCGAGTAGGTTGTGCTTGTTGATGAGAGGGACTAGTTTTTAAATGTTGTCTCGGCATTGCGAATGTGTGTATGTGTGTGCTCGACTTCACCAGACCGAAATAGTAAGGTGCGACAATTAACACCTCCCCGTAGACATCGAGCAAATGCAACTTCTTCAAGGGACGTAAGTGCGACTCCTGTGGTAAGGGCCTCGCTCTTTTGGCATTGTGTAGTCTACGCTATGGTGGAACTGATGACGGAGTTCTTATCTTATCAATCATTAACGTGGAGTTAAGCTGTAAGCATACGAAATATGCTTACAGCCTTGAGTAAAAGTTGACTGGAAAGAGCAATGAGAATGCAAAGAAGGAGTTGCAGTCGTGGAGGTGAGGCATGCAGTGTGCTGTGTTTGCCATGCCGTGGCAGTAGTGCTGTGAATAGTCCTCACATGGAGGTGTGCGTAGTGGTGAGGGATCTTTTGTTTGAACGAAGGCGTAAAATTGGTATTTGCGGTAGCTCACGGAAGACCTTATGAGCAAGGGCTCATTGCCGCAAGACGTTTGATTCTAATCAACATGCTCTCAAACCTGGCATGAAAATAATGCCTTCAATTGTGCTATCACCACGGACATAATTTCTTGAAAAATTCAAGAGGAGATAAAATGGCTTTCAATGCTATTAAGTGCAGTAGTTTTTCTTTATTTTCATAAGACCCTATAAAATTTGGGCAGCAATGAGTGCTAAGTTCAACTTCTTTAATCCAGGACGAATTTAAATAATGAGCTAAGAGCTAAAACTTACATTCCCATTTCCAACTTTGTGGCTCTTTACGCGCCAACTTTTAGTACTTCTTAGGTGCGCTTCCGTAAGTAGCGGTTTCAGCAGGTCTCCATTTTCCCATCTGATGGGATAGCCCGGTTTAAGCTGATCTGGGATATCCTAATTACATGCTCTGATCTTTGACACTGCCGTAATAGAACGCTTTGACAAGGCAACAATGCCAATATCGTGACAATGGTCAATGTGTTTAACGGACTCTCTTTTAGCTGCTTAATGAAAATATGTCATTTGTTTATAAACTGTGTTCCAGTCCCAATTTGAAAAATAAGGTTACTTATTCTGCTTCTGTTCCTCTTTTGTCAGCTACCAGCTGTGAGTTGATGGCTGGGGTGGAGCTAAGCGCCGATATCTCCATCCAGCCATCAAATCAGGTCTCAGAACGTGAAACTTCGGAAGTTTGGTTAACGAATATGAAAATGACTTGTCTAAGAGGACGTAATTTGTTGGTTGAGCCAAGACGGTGCGTGCTTGAAGCTATAACTGTAAGATCGGAGAGAATCGCCACTTTTCTTAAAGGCTGGCAAAAAGGAAACGATGAATTTCAGAAAAGAATACTTGCCTAGGCACACTTAAGTGAGCTAAAACACTCAGATCTCTGTTCGCTAGCCGCCTTGCAAATTGGAGCATAGAGGTGAAGAGAGACAACAGCAAGGGTCACCTCCGTTTAGACGTACGCTTCAAAGTGTTCAATCACTTTAAGTCTTCTTTCGCTCCTATTTCCCACTTTTGGTTCAAGACCTTGGCCTATGCAGAAGTTTAAGATTGTATTAGTCACGGCTTTCAAAAAAGCACTCTTTGGGCGTAGTTTATCTTTAGCAATGCGTAAGGGAGAGTGTTCAAGGTTGATCATGCAACGATACCTCCCTCCTACCAACGTCGCACAAAATGCAACCCTATTACCACTTGTGAGGATTGAATTGAAAGACATTTTAAGCAATCCTATTGCCTTTCCTTTAAAGGAGCTGAAGGCAAGAGGCAGGAAAAAGTAAAAGAAGAACTCGACGGTACATAAATGTAGAGAATGCAAGATTTTCCCACTCTCAA